TAACGGCTGCACAAGGCCGTGAAGTTTGGTAATTTTGAGGTAAATTGAATGCAGCGCGACGTTTCTTATTTTTTCATGCTCTTATTATCAACATATCGGCGGACGAAAACTCGGTTTATGATAGAGAAAAGTCCAAGCTTTCCAACCGTGTGGTTAGTTTTTCGCTATCTTTCTAGATAACGAAGATATAGGCCCTAGAAGTAGGTGGAAATATAAAGGAAAAAGTTTGTTGCTGAGTGGTTTGTTGCTATCGTCTCGCCAGTTATTTATTTACTGGTTTCCAACAGTATTAGGTAAGTGGTTACCAAGAATGTTTAAGATTACCCAGAAATGTGTATAGTAATTTCTAAGATTTTTTTATCGGATTTCCATGGATTTTTAAAGGGTTATTAAGGATTACGAAGAAAATCGAAAGGTTTTCTAATTAATTCCATACTTAGTTTGGTAGTTAGATACAAATGATTTTATAAAAATGTACAAAAAGCTTAAATGTCCAATATAGTAATAGTTTAGGTCGATTCTTGGAATATATCGATCTCGCCAGGTATACATAAGTTAAAAACAGGTTTGAACCGGTCCAATTCGTTGCCAAAAATAGATGAACGTATTTAGGTCTATTATAAACCGGGCAGGTGTGTTGAGAGAGGTACGGGAGGGCGTCAAAAGTAGCCAATTATGTCGACCTCCTGGTTGTAACACACAAACACCACGTTCCAGGAGGATTCCAGTCCCACAGACGACAATTTATTTCTGAATGGTACCAGGTAGAACGTCTTTCTTCTGTTCATTGATGACGGCGGTTCTCTGAAGAATGACATACGACCAACTCTCCTGTTATTTATCGAAAAGGAAACACACCTACGCACGAAGCTAACAGGATATACGAGATAGTACATTTATCGTTTATTATTCATAGATAGATTAATCCATTAGTTGATTCGCTTGAAAGTTTCTGATAATTAAACCCCACACAGAACTTGTAACATTACCGAATATTAATCTTAATCCCTCCGCTTAATTTCCTGTTAAATTATTAGCCCCTCCCTGATGGGGCGAACGAGTAAAAAAGAGGCCTTCAAAAAATTACACATTTCCAGCCATCATGTAGCCCGCACGTGTCCATAAATCAAAAACACGTCATTGCAACGTCGCCCCATTAGTATTCATGTATGTATTCAATATCGGACCCGGCTAGTGAATTTGCAATTCAAAATTTGGCTCCAAAGCAAGACAGACTTTTTCAAAGTCCCGCGGAGAGATTCCCCGAAAAAAACAAAACGAAAGGAGAACGGGAACGAGTCTCCCTTTTAATTTGTCCTTTCTTCTCGTGGGTCGAAAAGTAACGAAAAAAACGAAAGGTGCAAAAATCAGTATCCGTGTTGCAGTGGTTACCGCTGTTGCTTTGCGAGACGGAAGAGAGATAACACGAGAAGAGGAACAGAGAGGGTGGAGTGCGCAAGGAGTAAGAGGACTAGTTGGTGGGGGCGCAGGACTCACGAACGCGCCGCTCTTCAACTGTTCAGTCTACATGCGGACGCTGCGGTGTGATCGTAGTGAACGTAGGTGCGTGGATGACTTGATCAGAAAGTTTTCTTATGACAATGTTTGTGAAAAAAGCTGTGTTGTTACTTTTGGTGACAATTATTCGTGTGGATTCAAGTTTAAGTGGTGGAAATTGTCCCTCCGTTTGTATGTGCAAATGGAAAAACGGAAAAGAAACGGTTGAGTGTACGGATCGCGGTTTAATAGCGATTCCGACAAGTTTAGATGTTGTGACGCAAGTTTTAGACTTGTCAGGAAATAATCTACAAATTTTACCAAGAAAAGCTTTCGTCAAAGCGGGATTGGTAAACCTCCAAAAAATATTTTTGAAAAATTGCCGCATCGGTCAAATTGACGATGAAGCATTTAACGGCCTCACTAACCTAATCGAATTAGATCTATCTCATAATTTACTCACGGACATCCCATCGGGGACGTTCCAAGACGTCCCGTTCCTTAGGGATTTGGTTCTAGCTAATAATCCCATCCAAAAAGTCGATTCGCACGCTTTCAAAACAGTCCCGGCGTTGATTAAGCTCGACCTATCTCATTGCGAATTACAAACGATCCAACCAAAAGCTTTCGAAGGCATCGAATCTTTACTAATCCTGAAACTAAACGGAAACCGCCTTAGTGAACTTCGTCCGAGGACCGTTGAAGTTTTATATAAATTGAATGCGGTGGAGCTGCAAGAAAATCCGTGGCATTGTGATTGTAGGCTGCGTCCCATCAAAGAATGGTTGCAGAAATACAACATTCCGATATCTGAGTCGCCGGTGTGCTCCGGTGGACCTGAAAGAGTGATTCATAAGTCCTTTCAAGATCTTCACATCGATGATTTTGCTTGTAAACCAGAAATTCTTCCGGTTAACCGTTACATTGAAACCACCGCCGGAGACAACGCGACCATAGCGTGTAGAGCAAGCGCTGTTCCTTCGGCCCACATCAATTGGTACTGGAACGGGAGGCTTCTACTTAATAATTCCGCCTTTTCATCGCATCAAAAAATATTCGTTTTCGAAGAGGGTCGCTTTGAGAAGCGGAGCAATTTAGTTTTAACAAACGCCCAAGAAACGGATTCGAGCGAATTTTATTGCGTGGCTGAGAATCGAGCAGGAAACGCCGAAGCCAATTTTACTTTGCGTGTTGCGATGCGCACCGCAGGAATGATCACGTTGGGTAGCGGACAAATTGCTGGTTTAAGTGCAGCGCTCGTCTTCCTCATCCTGTTCATTCTTATGATCATTCTATTCTTGTTGGTTAGATTGAGGAGGATGCCATTTTCTGAGAGTAAGACGCCCGGACAAATCGAAGTTGTCACAGTTGTTAATGGATCGGCTGTTCCCAATGGAAAGGCCGCTAATTTATCACCGGTCAATCCGATAAATCCGAATGTAGAAACGTCGTCATTTTCAGAGAGGAAAATTCCGACCGATCTTAATTTCTGCAACCCGGTTCAAAAACCACCAAGAACTAACGATGTGTCGTACACTACAAGTCATTATAATGGAAACGGATCTATTATTAATCCTAGTTCGTGTTTCGTCTCGCCATCATCAAATTCAGGAAATAATCCCGACTTGATCAATGACACCAACGCGAAATTTGAGGGCGAGGACGGTTACTCAGTTGAAGCGATAGAGAGACCAGGAAGTGGGGAATACAGCAGAAACATCGACTCTTTGTACCCATCGGGTTTATGGGAACACGATCAAGATTCTTTTAGGAATATGAGCGCAACAAATCCGGGATTTCACTACGACGATAAAACCCCCATTATGAGTGGCAACAGCGTTACAAATTCCCAAGAAGATATCGGTGCTAATAGGACCGTTCTTGGGTATCCATCAGATTATGGACTTCCGATAGAAGCTAGAGAAAATTACGTTTCCACCTCGAGTAGTACACTTCCAAGTAACGCCAAAACATTAAGGGTTTGGCAAAAAAGTGGTGTACCAGTGTTACCACCCGTGACAGCGTTAAAAAGAGTTTTTACTCAAAACAGGAACTCGCCGGATGAGGGGTATCAAGAAGGATGTGGTACGGATGTGTAAAAATTTGAAAAAAAAAATAATAAAAACCAAAGACAAAGCTCAGTTCCTACGATAATAAATTAAAACTAATTTTCTTTATTGACTGTATTAAGTGAATTAAGAATTAAGAGTGGTGAAGAAGTATGTGACTTTAATAATGTAATCCGTGTGTGATACGAGGATTAAAAACTAAGTGAAAAAATTGTAATTTGTGCATTAGCTTAGTAATTAAGGGATCGCTACATAGAGAGATGATGAGTTTTTCAGCGGATCATCAGGAAGACTGAAACTGAAGAATGTAGTAGGTAAAAAAAAAGATAATAAAAAAATAAAATCAACAAAGAGACGCAAATTAAATTAATTTAATTATTTTCTTTTAATTAATCTAGTCAATTTATTTTTTTATTACTAAATTAATTTCTTATTGTAAACCTCCCGAATTCCCCCCAAAAAAAAAGAAACCCGTAAACGAGAACTCCAACTGTATATATATATAAAAAAAAAGAATTTTTGATGAAAAAGCACGATACAATTGTATGTAATAATAACAATAATTTATTTTTGTATTTATTAGGGAGATGTATTTTAACAAAATGCATACAATAATATTGAATAAGAAAAATAAATCGAATAAATGTCTGTATACATGTAAATACCGTTTAATAAACAAACAAAAAAAATCTAGTTAAATAAATAAAATAATGGCGTTGTTCTCGTGAGAAATTAAATTAAAGAAAAAAAATTAAATGTTTTCTATATGTGAAAATACTCTTTTTCGAGTTGAAAAACGGTATCTATGTGAGAAGAAAAAATAAATAAAACGAGATGAAAAATTGATAATAAATTATACAGTATTCATAATGTTACCAGTAACGGAAATGTAAATATATGTGGGGAAAATGTGTTATATACTTAAACGATTAAATAAATTGCATTTTGCAAACAAAAAATTCTTTTATTATTATTTTTTTAAATCTCCTATTTGCGGAAATTTACGCGATAAAACAGCTTGGTGGAAATCGACCGGTCGTGCCAAACATGCATTTTCATAAAAGAAACAATGGTCAGATCGATCGTTGGTGGTCACAATGGATTTGCAGCGTTTGTGTCCGAACGTTGCGAGCTACGCGAACTGATAGATAAAGGTTCGTGGTTTTCAATAACAACGATCAGAATGATTAACAACCACTGGTTACAATTATTCCACCACCGTCACACTATTTCCAACTATATATTTCAATATGGATCGAAACCACAGAAAGGTTTTATAGAAATTTATTGAATCACACTTTGAATTTATTTAATTCAAATAATTCAATTCAAATAATTTAATTTAAAGAATCTGAATAACAACATTTGACACAGATTCTACGCATTCTGTAGAATCAATCAAAAGTATGAAGTTAAATCCCTGGGATATCTATCCGGAGATCACACTAGACTTAGAACAAGAAACTAGTTCTAGGTTTAATATGAGTTTACTTATTTTTATAAAAATATACAACAATATAATGCCGAATAACAATTAAAACTACCACTAGTTTTACATTACCACTATCATTAGAACTAACACAAGACCTAGAACTAGAATCATTCTGGTTTAACCGTTTTGACAGGCTTTGACTAAATCCGAATTTTCTAGTTCTTGGTCTAGTGTTAGTTCAAATGGCAGTACTAGGTTGTTATATACTTTTCTTGAACTCAAATTAATACTAGACCTTGCGTGTTTTGAAAAGAAAAAAGTGTCTGACGTGTTGGATATCATATTGCTAAGGTGTCAATTAAGGTGTTTTTATCAAATTCGAATGGAAACTTGGATACTTTCGGTAACCCTAAAACAATTACATAAAAATAAACTTAAAGCGATAAAAAGATTAGAAATGATTCTTTTTATTCTTTTTGTGTGGTTAGAAAAGAAGTACTTAATTTAATTTAAATCTAAATTTAATATCGTAAAACTCAACGAAAGTACAACTTCCCCCTTTCTTTCCTTTCTTGAGTCCCACTTGAAGAACGAAGGTTTTCAGTTTTGAAGTAAGCCCACTCGGCGAAACGCGCGGTAACTTCGAGAGTTCCTCCTCGGAACAATCTTTAAGGCGATATTTTATAAAATATTTACTTTCCAATTAGCCCCCCGCGAGCGAAGACGAACGTAATCATGGCAAATGCGCAACGCCCGGCGAAGCATTTTAAGTAAAATTTAATGACGGCCCTCTCTTAATTCCCCTCCGCGACTGCCTCGGCCTTTCGTTATCAAAAGAAACCGGTTCTTCCTTCGTTTACGAAACCTGTCGAGCTTCAATTTCCGGTAGAGAACAGACAGATTCTCTTCGTTATTGAGGGGCGTACGCTCCTGTAAAGGGAAACCAATTAAATGAGTAAGTATTTTTGATAACCTATTATTGTTCAACATGTGGATTTTTGTATTAATCAAATTTTAATTTAATAATATAAATTGAATCACTTTAAGAATAGAAATGATAAGACAATGTCCGTATGTGTACAGGGTGGTTCAAATTCGATGTCCGAATAGGCTAACTCGAAAACTATAAGAGTTAGAAGAAAAGTAGCTGACATGTCATGATCTCGTTTTTCGAGGAACTGCTAATGTCGAAAACCTCAGAGCGCTATCGTCTTTTGTTTTTCCGCTAAAGGCCAAAATTGAAAATATCGTAAAACCCGCAAATGTAATTATCTTGGTTATTATTATAGGTGGAGTATTATAACTAAGACATTATATGGACACTTTTTTACAGAGAATTTGATGACGTAGTCAAAAAAAATTGTTCGGGTTTAGATTTTAAGATATTATCACAATTTTCGTTTTTTTAAATGGAAACAACCACTGATTATTCGCTTAATAAATTCGTTATTTTTTTCTGATTACAAAAATATAGGGTTTGACCGGTCTATTTCTTATTGTTTTAGAATAAAACTAAAAATAAACTTTTCTTTTAGTGTCGTCCAAGAAATTAAATTTACAGTTTCCTGTAAATTACTGTTCTATAACTAAAAATTTAAAAAAAACATATTTCAGATATTTGAAACAAATATATTTGTTGAACTATTTAATTTATCTATGTTTTACACAAAAGTTGGAATAGATTGCATTATTTCACATTTTTTATTACGATTTAATATTATTTTTAAATGACTTAATAAATTATCGATAGATGGCATGTTTTTTTTTAATTCAAATAAACATAGCAACATTTTTTTTTTACATTTTTTTGTTTGTATTAAAAAATTTTCTGAAGTGTCACTTTAAAAATCCTGTTTTTAAGATCAATTATGAAAATTTTGAAAAGTTTGACATGTTAGAATGTTAGAATGTTACATATTAAAAAATTATTTGTTTTTAAATACCAGAAGTTATCTTCGTATTTAATTGTTAACTTTTTAGATTTTACCTACCGCCCTGTAACTTACAGGAAACTGTAAATTTAATTTCCTCGACGACACTAGATGAAAATTTTATAAAAAAAGTTTATTTTTAGCTTTATTCTAAAACAATAACAAATAGACCTGTCGAACCCTATATTTTTGTAATCAGAAAAAAATAACGAATTTAATAAGCGAATAATCAGTGGTTGGAAAAATTTTTTTTGACTACGTCATGAAATTCTCTGTAAAAAAGTGTCCATATAATGTCGTAGTTATAATACTCTACCTATAATAATAACCAAGATAATTGCACTTATTGGTTTTACGATATTTTCAATTTTGGCCTCTAGGGGAAAAACAAAAGACGATAGCGCTATGAGGTTTTCGGCATTAGCAGTTTCTCGAAAAACGAGATCATGACATGTAAGCTACTTTTTTTCTAACTCTTATAGTTTCCGAGTTAGCCTATTCGGACATCAAATTTGAACCACCCTGTACTTGATACATACGTTTCTGCATTTACTCACAAACCAGAATTCAAACCGAGATTAATCTCAAATGCTACTCAAGTAGCACAAGAAGATTGTCGCTATGACATTCAGAGCATTTTGCAGATCACATTGTCTCAACATCCTCGACCACAATTTATGGGCCATTTCTGTATCGAGATGTAATGGGAGGATTCAAGATTCGTTGCTTTGGAATCGCCCATTTGGACATTATGTCAATTACAACATATCATTATTTCTTTGGATTCCTCCAAATTGTCTGATTTCCATTAAAAATAGATTATCGAACGGTATTAGTCTGCTATTCTGTTGTAGTGTAAGTTTGCTTAAATTTAGAGTATTTAAAAGCAATTCTTAAATAGCTCATTTTAAATCGGGCATTTTAATTCACATCTGATGACTCTCCCAACTACGCCAGAAATTAATTGCAGTTTCTTGAACCTATCTGATGCCCAAACATTTCTCCTTCCATATTCTCTCCTTGATTTGGTTTTAGGGTTGTTTGAGTTAGCAGACGTGCTTTAAACACTGGATTTTTTCCTCTAAGTATAAAACTTACGCATCTTTTCGCCACGTAACTTGGTCAGACAACTAAATTTTATATCCATAATTAATTGGAGACCAAACCTTAATAAAACTCTCCTTTTTAATTGGACAAAACGATCGATTGAGTGAAAAAGAATTTAATCTTTTATTTCCTAAGTTGATGAAAAAAAAGTATAAACTCATAATTGCATTTTATTGAAACCTTTCAACTAATAATCTTCTGTCATCCGATTTCTCCGTGTACACTTCTTATTGTTCTAAAGAAACAGCGCGTGACCTTTCCTTCCCCAATGAACAAATTGCTTTCTTTTCGTTCCGGCTTACAACGAAACAGACTGAGCACCAAGTATCGCGTGAAGTTACGCATCGATTCACTCATGTGATTGTACACACTCTTTAAGATAAATAAAATAGATTTCAATTTTAACCTAGAAAAGAAGGTTTCTTTTTATCCTTTTTCCTTGTTGTTTGTTGTTTTGAATCGTCAATAGTAGTAGGTGTAATGCTCGGTGCATATTTGCCATGAAAAGCTAAAAAAAAGAGCTCTTTTTTTCCAGCTTTTTTATTGTCATCGTTGACGACCTTTTCTCCCGTTTCTGGAAACGTACAAAAGGCTTGACACGGCGTGACGTCGTTGACAATGCAAAAGGACGGAATTCTCGTTCGATCGCTTCCATTAGCTGGATTGTGCTTTTACCTTTAATAGGAGAGGATGACACCTTTCGTACGATGAGGATAATTTGGGACAAAACAAAATATCAATAAAAATTAGTTAAAATGAAAATTTACGGAGCAATAATGACCTCGTTAATGAAATAATTACCATTACTGCGATTATCGCGAATTCAATTTTCACGGTGAAAATTTTAATCCGCCACTCTACGAGCTTTCACTTTACAAATTTAAAACAGATTTTCGTACGAAATATTAACTA